GTGGCTGTGAATGGCAGTGAGTGCTGCAGGCGACCACTCAGCTGGGAACCGAAAGACATTGAAAGTGGGAAGTATATGACCAGCACACCATGGATCTCCAGAAGAACCGGTCCGAAGCTTTATTCAGTGATCACATGACCATTACAGAAGCAGCGCTTCGGATCCTCGCAGGACCCATCATCAGGCATGTGAAGCCCATGTTAGAACTCTGCTGTTTTGTAACTGTTAACCCTTTTCCTGCCCACCATTGTATATCAAACATTGGGTGGGGGGGGGTCTTAATATTAGTTGGTGAGCCAACATGAGATATTCTGGTGCCGAAACTCTCAGGATGCACGCTTGGCCGAAAACTGAAATCCAAAATGTCGTAAATTTGACATAGGCAGGCAGCCCTGTTATGCAGCACGAGGGCGGGCACTCGCAGACGCATAACCACGGTTTTTTTTAAACGTGTTGGTAGTGTTTTGTAATACAAAATAGGGGTGTGGCTGCGCGTAGGCGCGCCGCCGCCCTATCTGTCCCGACGGTCTAAAATGAATCACCCGCCCCGCAGATGTCAGTAGCCGGGTCACAGCCGGGTCCTTAGCGGCTAGTGTCCCGGCGATCAGTGGCAAAACAGTGACAGAGAGCATAGCTGCAGTAGCTTCGTGCTTGTCTGTCAATTCCCTGTCAGCTCGAGGGTGAGCTGATCGAGCAAATAACAGTTTCACTATCTCAATGAATCCTTGCCGCCGGCCCGAGTACAACACCAGACCATAGCACCGGCCCCCCGCCCTAGTTGGAAACACACTAACCCTCACATCCCTATAACCCTTTCCCTGCAAAATTAAGTTAATGACCCCTTCCCTCCCCATTGCCATTAGTACTAGTGTCCAGTGTTTTTTTTTTTTTAGCACTGAACACTGTAGTTAGTGTTTTTGGGGAATGTCAGTGACCCCGTAAGTCAAGTAACTGGACCCCAATGACAGAATGTCCGCCGCAGTCCCGCCATAAGTCGCCGCCATTATTTAGTATAAAAAAAAAAAAACTAAAAAATCTCAGTATACTTTCCCGCCATTTGTAAACGCTATAACTTTCACGTAAACCAATTTAATTTACACGTATTGGTTTTTTTTTTTTTTAGCAAAGACATGTCGCAGAATGCATTTTGGCAGAAATTTATTACTAAATTTGATTTTTGCATTTTTTTTTTACTTTACATGTTTTATAGCAAAAAGTCCAAAATATTGTTTTTTTTTTTTTTCCTCAAAACTGTCAGACTTTTTTCTTTATAGCGCAAAAAAAAATAAAAACCGCACAGGCGATCAAATACCACCGAAAGAAAGCTCAATTTGTGGGGGGAAAAAAAGAATGTAAATTTAATTTACCGTATTTTTCCCTCCATAAGACGCACCTGACCATCAAAGACGCACCTAGGTTTTAGAGGCGGAAAACAAGAAAAAAAATATTCTGAACCAATAGACTGCAGACACAGTACAGGAGATGACCAGAGACTGCGGACACAGTACAGGAGATGACCAGAGACTGTGGACACAGTACAGGAGATGACCAGAGACTGCGGACACAGTACAGGAGATGACCAGAGACTGCGGACACAGTACAGGAGATGACCAGAGACTGCGGGCACAGTACAGGAGATGACCAGAGACTGCGGACACAGTACAGGAGATGACCAGAGACTGCGGGCACAGTACAGGAGATGACCAGAGACTGCGGACATACTACAGGAGGTGACCAGAGACTGCAGACGTACTATAGGAGATGACCAGAGACTGCGGACGTACTACAGAAGATGACCAGAGACTGCGGACACAGTACAAGAGATGACCAGAGACTGCGGGCACAGTACAGGAGATGACCAGAGACTGCGGGCACAGTACAGGAGATGACCAGAGACTGCGGACAGTACAGGAGATGACCAGAGACTGCGGACACAGTACAGGAGATGACCAGAGACTGCGGATATAGTACAGTAGATGACCAGAGACTGCGGACACAGTACAGGAGATGACCAGAGACTGCGGACACGGTACAGGAGATGACCAGAGACTGCGGACACGGTACAGGAGATGGCCAGAGACTGCGGACACGGTACAGGAGATGACCAGAGACTGCGGACACAGTACAGGAATGACCAGAGACTGCGGACACAGTACAAGAGATGACCAGAGACTGCGGACACAGTACAGGAGATGACCAGAGACTGCAGACACAGTACAGGAGATGACCAGAGACTCTGGACACAGTACAGGAGATGACCAGAGACTGCGGACACAGTACAGGAGATGGCCAGAGACTGCGGACACAGTACAGGGATGACCAGAGACTGCGGACACAGTACAGGGGATGACCAGAGACTGCGGACACAGTACAGGAGATGACCAGAGACTGCGGACACAGTACAGGAGATGACCATAGACTGCGGACACAGTACAGGAGATGACCAGAGACTGCGGACACAGTACAGGGGATGACCAGAGACTGCGGACACAGTACAGGAGATGACCAGAGACTGCGGACAGTACAGGGGATGGCCAGAGACTGCGGACAGTACAGGGGATGACCAGAGACTGCGGACATACTAAATCATATAAAGTCCCCACAGGGCCCCTCCACCCAGAATATCAAATGATCTGACACCATACATCAAGGAAAAGGACTACAACTCCCAGCATGTCATTTTTAACTTACAGAAGGCAGGGGGCGCACTGAGCTCCGAGGACAGGCCACAACAGCAGACAGGACCAGACTGCAGAGCAGGGAGCGCACTATGGACACATGCCAGGAAAGGGGAGGAGCTGTAAGGACAGGCCACACCTGTGGACCGGACTGCAGAGCACAGAGAGCAGTACACAGACATGCCAGGAGTGGGGAGGAGCTCCGAGGACAGGCCACACCTGCAGGGCGGACCGGCAGAGCTGGGTTCGGCGGGGGGGACTGTCTACTATGAAGAGCTGCGGGGACAGCCCGCTGAGAGACGGGATAAGGTAGGGAGAACGTCAGTGACAGGCTGCAGTGGGAGGGGACAGGCTGCAGTGGGAGGGGACAGCCGCTGGTCCTAACGCGGTGACAGGTGTAGGACTGTCCGTATTCGCTCCATAAGACGCACAGACATTTTCCCCCATATTTTCTGGGGGAAAAAGTGCGTCTTATGGAGCGAAAAATACGGTATGTACCATATTGCATGACTGCGCAATTGTCTGTTAAACTAGCGCTGCTGTATAGCAGAAAAATGGTGTAAATTGCAGTATCTATAACATAGCTTGTAGACGCTATAACTTCACACAAAGCAATCAATATACACTTATTGGGATTTTTTTTTACCAAAAACATGGAGCTGAATACATTTTGGCCTAAATTTATAACCAACTTTGAGTTTACTATATATTTTTTTATAGCTGAAAGTAAAAAATATTGTTTTTCTTCAAAATGTTTGGCCTCTTTTTGTTTATAGCGTGAAAAATAAAAAGCGCACAGGTGATCAAATACCACCGAAAGATGATTTAATTGCTATCACATAGAGACCAATAGTCCCCCACATGATAGCATGTAAGTGGCAGGTCTTCTTTGTGGGGGGGGGGGGGCAGTATGTACAAGGAGGGGGTAGGCAGTAGCAGTGATTACAGACAGGCTCCCTCACTTGCTGCCACTAAATGTCATTGCCGGTTTATAAATGCACCCGCTGACTTTTTTTTTTTTTTTCCACTTTATAGATCGGAGGAGGAGCTGTCATTCGCCCCGCCACTAAAATAAACAAAGGGGCGGGGTCATTAAGTGATGTCACTGGGTAACCCCACCTCTTTACTTTAGCAGCTGACCGCTCCTTCTCGGAGCTTTAACCCCTTCCAGTCCGGACACTTTCACCCCCTTCCTGTCCAGGGCAATTTCCAGCTTTCAGCGCTATCACACTTTGAATGACAATTGCGCGGTCATGCAACACTGTACCCATATGAATTTTTTACCATTTTTTTGAGACAGATAAAACTTTATTTTGGTGGTATTTATTCATCGCTGGGATTTTTTATTTTTTTTGCTATGTAAATGAAAATGTCCAAAAATTTTGAAAAAAAAGTGTTTTTCTTATAAAATTTTGCAAATAAATAAATTTCATCATAAATCTTGGCCAAAATTTATTCCGTTATCTTTTTAGTAAAAAAAAAAAAATAAGCCAAATTAGTTTATAACCAAAAATTATAATTTTTAAACATTTTTTTTTACATTTTTATTTTTTTTATATTATTTATTTTTTTTTTTTTTTGTCACCATAGCATACTGTCACCCTAGCAGTACAGTGTCACCATGGTGACACTGTACTACTTTTGGGGGGTGATGAAGATTTTTTTTTTTTTACACTGATTGCTTTTACATCCATATAGGGTGTAAAAGCAATCATTTCTCCTTCTCTCTGGCTGCATTCTTGCAACCATTGAGAGCTACTGAGTGAGCTGTGATTGGTCACAGCTGGTCACATGGTACAAGGCTGTTGTGAATAGCCCTGTACCATGTGACCTCTGTGGTCATTCACAGATTTCACACGTAGTAAGCAATGATGTCACAAGTGACATCTTGCTTACTACTTTGCATGTGATCACTGATTGGCCAATCAGTGATCACATGATCGGGACCTCGTACAGAGGTCCCGTACAACGATCGGTGTTCTGCTGCATCCGGAGGACTCAGTGGGCACCGGATCGTGGTGCTGTGCGCTCCCGGGGAGCGCACACAAGCAGGGTGCGGGGAGGCCATTTATAAACTACCACCCGACCCTGCAGTGCCACCGTCTGGCCGTTTATATACAACAGCCGGTCGGGAAGTGTTTAAAGTGAAAAAAAAAAAAGTCGGTAATTGCTTTTAAAAACCGTCAATGATATTTATCAGCAGCCAGTGAGGGAGCCTGTGTGTGTACACTGCATCCTCACTGTATACACTGCTTACCCCCCTCCTGCCCCCTCCCCCATGTGCAGTACACACAGCCCCCCCAACCCCTCCGGCTGTAATAATCGGCACCTGTATCGGCTCACTTTTTTCTGTAAGGCTTTTTTCAGCCGATTATGTTTGAAATTTCAGTGCATCCCTACACACAGTGGGCTGGATTTACTAAAGGCAAATAGACTGAGCACTCTGCAAGTGCAATTGTTTCAGAGCTTAGTAAATGAGCAGAAGATCTGCTGACTTCCATCATCCAATCATGTGCAAGCAAAATGCTTTATTTATTTATTTATTTTCCTTGCACATGATTGGGTATTCTTGGCAAGGTAGAGCTTTACCTCATTTACTAAGCTCTGGAGCAACTGCAAAGTGCACGTCTATTTGCCTTTAGTAAATCAACCCCAGTGTGTGTACACTTGACAAGCCGTCTGTCAGCTTTCTGATGAAGGTGATTGGATGGCTGTACAAGGTGACCCCCGAAACTGTGTCTGCTCCTCCCCCTTGTGTTCTGTCAGCTTCATTGGAAGGCAGGTGAGACATCAGGGGTGTAAAAGGCCTCTGATATTCCATCCAGCGTTTCCCATCCATAGGATGCACTTGTACGTCCTTCATTGGGAAGGGTGATATCTCTGTCATCTCTGCAGCTGCAGAGCCAACAATTCCCTTCTATGCAAAAGTATCCTAGCAGCTGGATTACTTTTAGAGGTGGCAGAAGGGTGTCCCCTCCCCCCTCCCGACGCCTCCTCCGCCTTTACCGCCCAAAAATTGTGATTTTTCCATGAGAGAAATGTCAGAATTGGCCGGGGTGGCAAGTGGTTAAAGTGGAACTTCACTCTCTCAATCAGCATTGACTATTTTTAATCCGACTATTTCTGCCTGAGCTAAGGGCAGATGCATTTCAGGAAGTAAATGCTGCGTGAATCATCTGCCCTTACTCAAGAGGGTCACAGCAAGAAATGCGGGGGGGGGGGGAGGGGGTTCAAAATGAATTCTCAGCAAAATAAATCATGGAGACATGGATGGATGGGGGGTTTGCTTTGAATATTAACAATGGGTTAAATAGCATTCTTGATTTGTGGTGCTTAGATGCAGCGCAGTTCCACATTACAGAGAAGCTGTCACACAGAGTTGGTCACATGGGGTAGATTTCAGGTAAAATTGGGGGGGGTGGGGGGATTGCTGCCTTGTAGGTTTTTTTTCCTTCATGCATACAATGTACGAAGGGGACAAAACCCTTTAGCCTTTACTCCACTTTAACTTTTTACTGTGCCCCCGATAACCCCTTTCACAAATAACACGTGAATACAAAAAAATTGGGGGCTGCCTCATTTTTTTTTATTTTTTAAAAAATTTTTTTTTTTTTATTTAAAAATTTTTTTTTTTAAAAAAAAATTTAAAAATTTTTTTTTTTTTTTTTTTTTTTTTTTTTTAAAATTTTTTTATTTTATTTTTAAAATTTTTTTAATATTTTAAAAATAAAATTTTTTTAAATTATTTTTTTTTATTTTTTTTTTTTTTTTTTTTTTGGTTTTTTTTTTTTTTTTTAGGGGGGGGGGGGGGGGGGGGGGGGGTTTTTTGGGGGGTTTTT